ACCCGGAAGCGACGCACGCAGAGCATAATTATTCTGCACTTCGAACGGGACCGTTACGTTCCCGTTGCTCAGTCTGACCCCCAGAAACGAGTGAAAATCATTTAAAAAATCTAATTTCTGCTTCTCGTCAATTAAAGAACTATCATACTGCAAGAAAGGACCACCACAGCTCGTCAGCTTCTACTTGTTTTAACTTAAACCCAAGAAATCATGTCGCACATGTCAATGAGAACATGAATCAAAAATACATATAAAATACCAAAATACACATTGTTGTTCCTTCTGTCAGTTATTTTAAATATTAAAAATAACTTAGACCTTCCTCCACTATCTCACTATCTTATGGTAAAGATTACTAAAGGCAAATAAATCAGCCAATGAGGTGAGACCTTTCAACGTGTTTCAACATTTCTGTCACCTGTTTTAACAAAAGTGACTTTTTACAGAGAAGCTGCACAATTTCTTTTCCTGCATGCAGTAGCAGCTCCGTCCGCCTGCGCTGACAGAGCGGGAACCCGCCAAGCCAGAAACTGAACACGCCCAAACCCCAAGAAGAAGAGAAAACCTGAAGCAAAAAACATCCATTTTAACCTGTTGTAAAAAGCTAATAAAGATCTCCTTAAAATGAGTGACAATCAGCCAATCAGGCCACAGCTCTCAGGCTGATGTCACCTGTCGCTGACACAAGAAAGGCTCATTTCTTAATATTAGTTAGTGTTAAAGTTAGTGTAGTCTGCTTAAAACCCAAAACACATTTTAGGCTTGACGCAGCTTTAAATACTGTGTACGTTTACTCCTGATACTCTGGAGCACAGAGTACTATAGTACCGAGTTACATTAGTACCAGAACTGCACATATGTGGTTTATTGAAGGAGGAAGTGTCTCTTTCTGGAAACTGACACACAGATTTTTACAGTGTAAAACCTTTGAGCTGACAAACATGTGATCCAAAACACAGTGTGTGTGTGTGTGTGTGTGTGTGCTTACCGTAATGCCGGCCAGGCCAGGCGTACTGGCCCACACACTCTCCTGTCCAGCCTTTATCCCGCAGATGGCTGCCTCCATGACCGGGATGTTCCCGCTTATATCAGCGGTCTTTAGGTTTTGAATGTATGAGTCCCACGACATCCTGATCAATAACCAATAACACGCACACACTGATCAGTAACACATACACACACAATGACTGACAACCACTAAATGTGTCAGAAGAATCAAACACATGAGCAGAAAGAGCCCGATCAATCCCCAAATCAATCCCCAATAACTCAGAGAGGCCCTGTGTGTGAGAGAGAGAGACCACGTCAGCTTACCTGTGCAGGTATAGTCTCAGGTATGAGGAAGAGGGGGAAGAGAGAAGTCAAATGCAGAAAGAAGGAAGACGGGTTGTCTTTTATACATCCGACCACTCCCAGCTTGAAGGCAGCTTCCTGCCTTTCTCACTGTCACCCTGTGTCTCTCCACCCCCTCCCTCTCTCTCTCTCTCTCAACCGGAAGTGAAAAATAAGGAAGTGATCAGAAACGAGTCATATAGATGTAGTTCAGCACCCATCAAAGTCACTGACCCTTTCAAACAGGATTCTAAAAAAAAATATGAAGACCAAAATTCCTCACAGTCAACAGTGCAGTAGTCCTCACATGCAGTAATCGTCCTCACAGTACGTAATGTCCTTACAGTACAGCAATGTCCACAGTGCCAGTCAATAATGTCCTCACAGTGCAGCATGTCCTTACAGTCACACAAATGTCTCACAGTGCACAGTGCATAATGTCCTCACCATTCATAAAGTCCTCATCCTCAACATGCGGTACCTACAGTAAAATACAGTAATTCCTCACAGTGCATAATGTCTCCACAGGCACAGTGCAAGTAATGCCTCAACCAACAGGCATAATGTCCTCACATGCAGTAATGTCCTCACAGTGCACAGTGCAGTAATGTCCTCACAGTGCAGTAATGTCCTCAGTGCTGACTGTTTCTAGTCGACTGTCTGTGCAAGCCTTTACTCTTCCTACACAACCCATAACCCCACAAGCTTATATAGTTAGCTACCGGTAATTCAGCTAATTAGCTCCTTACCTTTGGAGGTAATGTTTGCATTCCACTGTAGAAGCAAGCTAGTAACATTAGCAACTAACATCAGAGCAGATAAACAAACACTTTAACACACTTGTAAAACACAACTTTATCAGTGATTTGGGGGAAACCAGATCATATCGCTGCTTGACCTGCTTTATTAGAAAAGTGTCCTGAGATAACATCTGTAATGATTTGGTGCTATCCAAATAAAGTTGAATTGAACTGAATTGAATTGACTAACTGCTAATGTAGCTACCGTTAGTGTGCAACCGAGCGGGGCTCAGCAGCCTCGCTGCGGACGCAACCCCCGAGGACAGCGTGATGAAAGCGGTACTGAGGGGATTGACTGTCAGCTAATAGGACCGCTATAGACTGGGGGGACGTAACACACATTCAGTACTATTGGCTACTGTGACAAGTCCCTCCCTAACTGCCTATTTTTACAGGAAATACGTTTATATGAGGAAGCTAACACCTCTCTGCTTCCTGCTTCATGCAGACTTTTATTGTGTTTTTGGTTTTTGAAAGACTAAAAAAGAGCCGACCGTACAAACCCTAAATACAGAGTTATCTGACGCACTCTGACCTTTGCTGTTGTTAAGATATGATTGGACATTCACTGTCAGGGGGAGGGGTTTAGCAGATGCTCAGTTAAGTCTGTAATTCTCTCAGACACACTGAACTCTAGATAAATTATAATCGCAGACGAACAGGAGTAAAGGTCAATAAGGTTGTGACAGCGACACAGGAGCTCTGCACAGTCAGATCCAGAACAACCGAACAGAGAACGGCAGCAGTGAGAAACTGAGCTCAAACTGTTGGACTGTGAGCAGAGAGCTGCCGTGTTCGTTTCCACACGCAAACCACTTCCTCCTGACCTGTTTCAGTTCATGTCGACACAACTGCACGCTGCTGCTGCTGCTGCATACACCGACACACAGGCCCTGCTGTGTAACTGCCTTTCACTTAGTATTTTCAGCCGCTTTCTGTCTCTCTGTGTTTATTTTCTGTCTCTCTGTGTTTGTTTTCTGTCCATCTCAGTCGATCTGTGTTGGATTTATGTCTTAGTAGTTGTTTGTTACAACAATAAATGTCAACATAATTTGACCCAGAGGTGCTGAGCATCCACCCACAGCTGCCAGCCACACCCACAGCCCGCTGTCACTGCAATACATTCTGGGGCTTGCAGTTCAGCACTGTTGAGTATTAAAGAAGCAGCTCCTACAATAAAGTACGATCAGTTAAAATTTGTGTTTGGGAAGGTTCAAGCTGGTTTAATATTTCTTCATATTGTCTGATAGTTGAATCACTTTGTGTTCAGACTCTGCTCATACATGCTGCATTCCTCTCTCTCACACACACACACACACACACTCGCAAATACCTGAGCCAGTTCAGACCTGTGGATGTCAGGAGGGAGACAGAGAATGAGCGACATGTTAAAACTTGGTTGGTCCACCTCGCGGCTGCAGGACTAACACAGTACTGCCACAGTGCTGGAGCGCATTCTCGTACTGCTAACACATCAGGATGAAGGAACAGGTGTGCTGACTGACATATGTTCAACCTTTAATGGTTTTAAGTCACAAGGACCAGATCATGACTATGGAAGAGAAGCAGCAGGAGTTACTCCTGATACTGCAGCCAAATGCATCCAGTTGTAGTAGTAGGAGTAGAATTATCAGCAGTCATACAAACACTACAAGTACACTAAGAACTGTGTTACAAGTGATAGTAGGAGCAGTAGTAGTAATGCAGTGTTAGTGGTACCTATAGAAGAAAGACTAATGTGACCAGTAGTTGTAGTAAAAGTTGCAGTGTTAGTGGTAGTAGTAGCAGTAGTAATAGTATTTGTACTAGTAGCAGCAGTAATTAATATAGTCTTACAAGTAGTAGTAGTAATAGTAATAGTAGTAAT